TAGTTCTAGCCTTCACAGCCTCCTGCAGCAAGGAGTTCCACAGGTTAACTATTTGCTTTGTGAAGAACAACTTTCTGTTGTTAGTTTGAAGCCTGCTACCCATTCATTTCATTTGGTGTCCTTTAGTCCTTCTATTATGGGACTAACGATGAACTTTTCTTTATGTACCCTCTCCATACCACTCGTGCTTTTATATACCTCTATCATATCCCCCCTCCGTCTCCTCTTTTCTAAGCTGAAAAGTCCCAGTCTCTTTAGCCTCTCTTCATATGGGACCTGTTCCAAACCCCTGATCATTTTAGTTGCCCTCCCCTCTCCCACCCTCTCTCTTCCCCTCTCCCACCTCCTTTTCCCAGTCTCCCTGAGTTTTGTTCAATAAAGAGAGTTTCTATTTTTTAACACACGTGCCCTTTATTTTGTACATCAGGAAGGGGGGCTAGGGAGGGGTAAGTGGAAGGAGGTGAGGGAGGAATGGGGTACGAGCCCCCGATGGGGAGGGCTGGGGTGGCTCTGCGGGCTCCTCGGGGTGGAAACTCTCCTGAAGCCCCTTGATTGACCCCCCCTCCGGATGGCAGCCTGCGGCAAGTGCAGCCGGTCTGATGGCCGAGTGCTGTGATGTGCCGAGTGTGGGCACTGAGGGCACTCCAAGCCAGGACTGCTTTGCAAGCGGGGAACCCCAGAGAACTGTCTGTCCGGGGTGGGGGTCGGGTCCCTTTAAGCACAGCCCTCGGCTAGCCTGAGACAGCATCTCCACGCTCTAAGTCCTAATCTGATGCCCTGCCAGCACTGCTTCCAGCCATCCTTAACCTCGGTTCAGGGTCCACTCAATGTGGACATGCTAGTTTGAATTAGCAAAATGCTAATTCGAACTAGTTTTTAGGTCTAGATGCACTAGTTCGAATTAGTTTTGTTCGAATTAACTAATTCGAATTAAGTTAGTTCGAATTAGTGCTGTAGCGTAGACATACCCCCACACTGGCCATCCAGCTGGATGATTTTTCTGTGGGTCAGTGACCCCCAACCCAAAAGAGGTTCCTCACCCCTGGGCTAGACCATACATGGATTTCTATTCAATGGAGTAATGGCATACATTCTCCCTTTTACTGTCTTCAATGGTCTGCTTGTACCACGGGCTGCAGTGTGCAATGGGAAGCAGGATTTGCAGAACTGCTCTTTCACCTCCCTACAGGTAATCAGGAGAAACCTGCGAGTGAGGATAGGTTGATTCTTGGCTCCATACTCCCTCAATGTGCCAGAGAGCACAGCTGGACTAATAAACCAGATGACATCCTGGGCCAGATAAAGGCCAGACAGACTAGCAATGTATTGCCACTCCCTCCTTTCCCCCACCCCCGCAGAGCAGGGGAAGTACCATGAGTCAGATTGTGATGCTCTGAACCACACAGCAGATAAATCCCAGTGACCCAACAGCCCGCCATATAGGGTAGGACACAATCTATTATATTGTAGAATCTATTGTAAGCAAGTGTGCAGGCCCATTAAAGCTTGTGAGAGGAACCCTTTTGAGTTTGCACCACACCTTGGCACATTTGCATATAAAAAAACCTGTGGGACGGGATGAAGCACACAGTGTCCTTCATGGCCCAGAGAATCCATCTTATTTAATTTTACTCTATAAATGTCTTCATTATCTTATAAGTAAAAAGTGGAGTTTGAAGGTTTTAAAGTAATCTTCAGAAGCATATCTGATTAATGTAAGTTCAAAGAATTTTGTAAGTATTTGCATGTCCTTACACATGTATTCCCACTGCTTTTAGAAATAAAATCTCAGCTGACCATACAATATTATTACCAAATTCCATTCTAAATTTAAACTATATTCATCTGAGTGAAAAATGCAGCCAACTATCAGCCTTAACAAATTTTTGTCACTTACTGCATAATAAACTAATGTTATGGCCCAGTTCAAATAGGTAATTGATAGAAATCAATGAAAGTTTTAGCCCAAGTGAATAATGCTTAGGTTGCACAGCATTACAATGCTTCTCCATAGTACCTTCTCATAGTTAGCTGAATTATCTGTTATTAAGCTAGTAGATAGCATCAAATTCTTCCTAACTAAGAAAAGCTTCATAATTATATTTTAAACAAGTCAGACTATATAATTTAATAAACCTGAAAGCAATATGCAAGTCTGAGAATGGTAACTGTTTGAATAAGCAATATTTATGGTTGACTTTTCCTTAATAAAAATCTTGTAACAACATGTCAGGGAACACTGACTGACTAGAAACAGTTTATGAAATGTAATTTAAAATTTTAATTAGCACCGAGGTTAATCTGTTTTGGCAGTTGTAGTTGTTAACCTTATGAACTAGCTGTTGTGGCACCAGTGAAAAAATATTTTTTTAAATTAAGCTAGCTATTTCAAAGCAACTCCTTTGTTACTCTGAACTAGAATTATATTGCATGAGTGCACTGCTGAATATGATCATTCAGCAACTAAACTACTTTTAAAGGGCTGGAACATATGTATATGCCTATCTAATGGAGTAAGGTGGGGGGAAGGATAAGTCATCCCTTTACTCTCATGAATGGTCCACTTGTACCTTAAACTGGACTACGCTGTGGGAAGCAGGATTTGCAGAGCTTCTATTTCACTTCCATAGAGGCGATCAGGAGAGACTAGGGACTGAGAATGGGCAGAAACTTGGCTTCCTGCACCCTTAATGTGCCAGACAGCACAGTTATGCCAGCCAACCAGATGACATACTAGGCTAGTTATATGCCCAGCAATTTACTTCCTCCCTAGGGCAGAAAAAGGTTTGTGTGGCAGATTGTGATGCTCTGAATCACAATCTGCTTTCGAGGATGTTCCCAAGACAATGCACTATGAGCTGCTCTTTAAATAGGGCAGATGTGTAAGGTGGTGATATAGCCTGTGGCAATTAATTCTAGTTAGAATTGAATGTAATACTGAAATAAGAATACCAGATTATGTTATTACACCAAAGAACATGGCACAGATTTATACATCTAGCTATATGTTAGGCATATTAAAATGCGTTTATTCAGGTTAATATGTAACTGCTGAAAACTTTAGCAGTTTCACATTTATATGGTGGGGGAGGTGAGAGAAGGTGGTTCCCCAGAAGCCGGTGCACACGGGGAGCCAACTGGCTCCCTGAGCACCGGCTCCTGCCTTCCCTCACCCCCGCTGCTGCCTCTAGTACAGAGGTAGCTGCATAGGATGGGGGAAGGAGTGCCTGCACACACTGGCTCCCTCCTGTGTTGCAGCGCGGGGAGGAGCAGAGGCTGCTGGCACCCTGGGAGCTAGTGCAAGCACTGGCCCCTGCCTGCCCCCACCTGTTGCCTCTGATATGGAGGCAGGGGAGGGGTGTAACTATGCATGTTAACTAATGAGCCCAGGCTCATCAGTTAACTGTGTACATATTTACACTTTCACATCCCTACTATGTGGTACGTACAAATGACTGCCATAAGGACAATGTCCTCTCATGGAGAAGCATGATAATGATACTTACATTGTGACTGATTATACTTACCCAAAGGGTCAGCTTTCCCATTCACATCTGGAATGGTGAACACTCCCACAACTTTATGTCCTTCTTTCTTCAGGTTTCTATAGACTTCTTGACCAAAAATACTCTGACCTATCAGAGCTAGCTTTATCTTACGCTGATAAGCCTGTCAACAAGAGTTAATGCAAACCACATTTTAGGATGCAGAAGTATTATGTTGCCACATGCAATTCTGTCTTTTTCTTAGTCAATGTTAGTTTTGATCTGTAAAATAATAGTATCTTTCTTTTGCAATAATTTATAATGGAATAAAATAAATGGCCCCATTTTTCTACCTTGTTCTTAAGTAGAACATGTAATCTGCAATTTAGTGAGACCATACTTCTTTGCATACAAGTATCACTTGATATTGTTTCTACCTCTATTATATCATCAGAAGAAATTTCTCCACATACACGCATTGCTTCTTACAAAAAGGCATAACAAAATTTGCAGACTGCAGTCATTATTCTATCTATGATCAATATACTATGAAATCTTATCTATGAAGCAGACTCTTAGCAAAATTTAGCCATTCCTACCATAAATTTCTGGAATATGACCACTAATCTATTTTTCACCTATTATCCTTGCAGGAAAATTAAAGTATTTTCTAACAATGACAAATGTTAATAGACTTCACAGTATGTTCAATGTCACGTTAGCTAAAGCCACTCAAGGTATCTGTGGCTGAGGTCAGTTCCAAAGTCCTTCCCTCACATAAGAGGAGGTCCTTGTATTACTACTGTACAAGTACAATCAAATCCTACTTCTTGTTCAACCAGTCTCCAGGACAAACAAGTTTGTTTACACATATGGGAGATAACACTGCCAGCTTCTTATTTACAGAGTGGCCGAAAAGAGAGAACAGATGTTCACACGGCACAGTTATTGCTGGTGTTACAAGGTATCTACTCACCAGATATGCTAAAGCAGGGGTGGGGAACCTTTTTTGGGTCAGGGGCCACTAAGCCACAGAAAAATCAGTTGGGGGCCACACACGAGTGAGAAGCAAAAAACCCCACAAAAACAAAAACACGTTGCCCCTGACTGAGAAGGAGAGAGACCCCACATTCCCCTCACACACTAGAGCCTAGGGGGACCTAGCCTAGTAGAATTTGTGTGCTCCAGCCCCATGGTGGGGCACCGGGAGGCTGGAGTGCCAGCACGGGCTCCCCAGTGCTGGGGGGACCCCCTGAGCCTCAAGGGCCAGATCCAGGCAAGCTGGGGGCCACATCTGGCCCCCAGGCCCGAGGTTCCCCACACCTTTGCTAAATATTTGTATGTCCCTTCATGCTTCATCTTGTATGCTCTGAAGTTTTCATTGTTATATTTTTGAGTGCAGTTAAGTAAAAAAACCAAACAATTCTACATTTGTAAGTGGCATTTTCATAATAAAGAGATTGCGCTACAGTTCTTATAGGAGATGAACTGAAAAATTCTATTTGTTTTATCTTTTTACAGTGCAAGCATTTGTAATAAAAATAATAATTAAGTGAGTGCTGTGTTGTAATGGAAATCAGTATTTGAAAATGTAGAAAAACATTCAAAATATTTATAATTAATTCAAACTGCCATTTTATTATGAACAGTGTGATTGATCACAACTATTTTTAATCTTGCAATTGCAATTTTTAAATAATTTATCAGTCCTAAAAACAAGGGAACTAAAGTACAGATGTTTATAGCAATTCTTCAGAGAGTGGGAAACAGTTTAGTCCTAGCAGCTGCAGTAAGAGCCCTTTTAGAACTCTACCCTCTTTCTATGTGCCATTTGAAAGTGAGGTGCAACTCCTGTATCTTTCACTGAAGAAATGCCTCTAGTTTATAGTTTCCCTCCTACAAAGGGATGCTGCCTCAATGGGAAGCTGGGACACAAGACCCACAACCAGTAAGGCCACTATTTTGGTCCCAGGTGATTTGGACTGCCCATATGAGTGTCTTACAAATCCTGTATGGATTAGCAAACATTCAGGTACTGAAAGATATAATACTTTGAAACAAACCACAAACCATTTTATGATGAGTGAGTTGAAGTACTTTCCATAAATGACATGAGTTTCAAATTGTCTTTCAGCTACACAGTTAGCCCCAGAAAGAAGTCTTAAAAATTGGTAGGATATTCATGATACAGGAAATGTTCATGAATTAGGAAAATTACTGTAGCACTATTTAGAGCCATAATGTTTCCTTGGATGTGTGCATGCAACCTGCAGAAAAGACAACAGGAAATGAGTATGGCCAATAGTGAAATTTCTCCCTTAGATTGCAACAGTAAAGAAAAAGTCATTCTGTTAGACAATGTTAATTTTCAATGGCAGTACCATAGATGTGATGGAAAAAGCATTAGAGAAAGTCCTCCTGATGCAAGTTTTTGTTCTACACTTGTTCCCTTGTTAACTGTAATTTAATGGCACCTCAAGTACACAGAAGTACCTGGCCTTTTAGATTTGTATTTTTCTTTTTCAGTCTATTCCCCACAAAATAGGAACTACCAGCAAATGAAGGGTAACAAAAAGTCCAGATAGATAAGTTATTATACCATGACCAAGTAAGTACCATCAGATGAGTTAAACTCTTCCTTTCCCAAAAACAAAAGTAAGATTTTAGGAAAGTATAAGAGGCATGCCTCAATGGCCAAATTTCTGAAGGGGCCTTAACTAAGTCTAAGACTGTGCATCTATTTTTCCTGTGACAAAGTTTTTAGATTTTTCGCCTTCTACATTTACGAATCTGAGAGAACAAAAATTCTGAATTCAGAGAGCAAACTGCACTTTAGCTGCACAGACAAGCCTGGAAGTTAGCCAATTTGCCTGTATGATTGCCATTTATGCTTGGAAAATCACATTATTTTACATTCTTGAAAACTCAGACAAGAAAAACTACTCTAACAATTTTAAGTCAATAAGCATGATCCAAGTCTAAGTAAATGAAATGGGGCTTGAAAAATATTTTAGAAACTAGCCAATAGCCCGTCATAAGACATGATTTTTGAGACTCTCCTCCATGTCCATCTCTCTCTCTCTCTCTCTCCCCTCCTCCTCCTCCTGCCTCCCCCCAGCTCTCCTCCACCTCCTGCCTCTCTCTCCATCTCTCTCTCTTCTCCTCCCCCTCCTGCCTCTCATCCGGGGGCCCATGGAGTCCCCAGGGGTGCTGCATAGGGACCGCAGCGCCCAAACGGCCGCTTGCGCCGCTTGCTACCCCGTGGCAGCCCGGCTGAGCGGCGCAGAAGTCAGCCGAGCGCCATGGCAAGAGGCGAAGGACATGACTGAGACAACAGTGCCGCCCAGAGGGAACAGCCAGCATTTCAGCATTACAGAGTCACAGACATTGGGCTACTATATATATGATAGAACACCTATCTCAAAATATTAATTCAGGAGAGCAGTTTTGTTTTCACAGGTGAAGTTTTTATAATATACGTACTCTACAATCATAAACATATATCTCTAGTCACTAAATTTATATGTATATAAATCTGATTCACATGTTTCATGGAGCTGCATACAAATTTTGGATCATGAGCTGCTGTAAATCGATGTGTAGCTCCATTGAAGTACATGGCGCCACATTATGTTCATACTAGTTCTGCTAGCTGAGGATCTGGCCCAAAACGGGGGCTACAATAGATGGGGCTACTATAAGGTGGGTGCATAACTGGCTGGATAACCGTTCTCAGAGAGTAATTATTAATGGTTCACAATCCTGCTGGAAGGGCATAACAAGTGGGGTTCTGCAGAGATCTGTTTTGGGACCCGTTCTGTTCAATATCTTCATCAACGATTTAGATATTGGCATAGAGAGTATGCTTATTAAGTTTGCAGATGATACGAAACTGGAAAGGGTTTCAAGTGCTTTGGAGGATAGGGTCATAATTCAAAATGATCTGGACAAACAGGAGAAATGGTCGGAGGTAAATAGGATGAAGTTTAATAAGGACAAATGCAAAGTACTCCACTTTGGAAAGAATAATCCATTCTACACATACAGAATGGGAAGCGACTGTCTAGGAAGTAGTACTGCAAAAAGGGATCTAGGGGTCACAGTGGACAACAAGCTAAATAGGAGTCAACAGTATGATGCTGTTGCAAAAAACCCAAACACGATTCTGGGATGCATTAACAGGAGTATTGTGAGCAAGACGCAAGAAGTCATTCTTCTGCTCTACTCTGTGCTGATTAGGCCTCAATTGGATTATTGTGTCTAGTTCTGGGCACCATATTTCAAGAAAGATGTGGAGAAATTGGAGAAAGTCCAGAGAAGAGAAACAAGAATGATTAAAGGTCTAGAGAACATGACCTATGAAGGAAGACTGAAAGAATTGGGCTTGTTTAGTTTTGAAAGGAGAAGACTGAGATGGGACATGATAGCGGTTTTCAAGTATCTAAAAGGGCATCACAAGGAGGAGGGAGAAAAATTGTTCTCCTTGGCCTCTGAGGATAGGACAAGAAGCAATGGACTTAAACTGCAGCAAGTTTAGGTTGGACATTAGGAGAAACGTTAGGGTGGTTAAACTCTGAAATAAATTGCCTAGGGAGATTGTGGAATCTCCAACTCTGGAGATATTTAAGAGCAGATTAGATAGACATCTATCAGAGATGGTAGACGGTACTGGGTCCTGCCATGAAGGCAGGGGACTGGACTCAATGACCTCTCAAAGTCCCTTCCAGTTCTAGCATTCTGTAATTCTACGATTCTATGAAAATTGTTACTGAGCACAGATTTCTCTATGTTTAGCAGAGTTCTGAGCTAGGAATTAGTTATGGTTAAAGAGAGGATGCAATCTTTAAACCGGTAAGTATAAAGTAGTCTAGCTAGTAAAATAAGAGCTCAGAATGCTCATGCATGCATGCTTACAAATAGACAAAAGTTACCTTTCTGCATTCTGATGAACAAGATTAACCTGGCAACAAGCCAACTATATCTTTTCACGTATATAGAAAGTTGCTTGAACTGAAAATGAATTGCTCAGCACGAGGGATATATAAGTTCTCTATGACCAGCTTTTCTTGAAGAATTTCTCCCTTGAACTGCCACAAACATACTTTACCTTAACATTTAATACAGATAATAATATCTTGTACTGTGTTGTCACTTATATTTTTAGCTGGTAGAAAGCAAGAGCCTTCATGCAAAGTAAGTCCTCCATGAATAGAACTACTATTGGGTTCACTGGAGTCCCATACAAGAAGGAAATTTGCAGGATCAGGCTTCACATCTTTTTTTTTTTTTTTTTTTTTTAAACTTCTGGTTGCTTCCTTTTAACCTATTTAAAAATACCAATTGAGGATCTTCCTGTAAAACCTGTGTCTTGTTCTAGAATTGGAAGATCTTCCACAAAAAATATTTACACAATTTGCTGGTCTTTTGAGAATGGGAGTTGCTTGTAGGAATGTAGGACAGCCTTGTAGTTACTTTTTCATTTAAAAGTCACCTCCATGATGGATGTATCACCACTAAAAAGATAGGTCCCATTGTCTAGCTTCTAAACAGAAACTTTCTAAATGCTATCAAATCATACAGGTGGCATTTTAATATATGAGCAATCCTCATACTTTACTGATAATGGACTTTTGGTTGCTTCTGACACACGAATGGATACTATGGAATTATCCCAACAGACCTATAAAGCAGTGGCTCTCAAACTGATGACAAAGAGATGGCTCAGCTTTATAAGGTATAAAGGCCATTTTATTTTTCCCGCATGGGAACTTCTGGAGGAATTTTGTTAACATGGTCCATGGTCTTACAAAGCTGTGTCAGCAGAGGATCAGGGATTTGGAAAGTGTCTGTACATTCTTATTTAATTTTCATTTGTTGAACTGTTTTGCTTTCTTTTTTCTTCTTTGTGATATTACTTCACTTGTATTATAACATGGATAAAAATACTAAAGAAAAGATCTCAAAATTCACTCTCATTTTACTTGGATATGAGGCTCCCCAACCAGATGCAGGGAACAAATTTGGTGTATAGCATACCACCAGAAAACTGATTTGTTCAGGTGATGTAAAAAGATAGGTACCCAACTCCACAGTTGGGCATCTAAATAAAAGTGGCTTGCTTTTAGGAGATGTTGTATAGCTACAGATTCCATTGACTTCTAAGGAAGTTGTGGATGTTTAACATTTCTTAAAACCAGTCCTCTTTTATTTAGATGCTTAAATATATATGTAGCTGCCTAATTTTTGGGCATATACTTTGAAAATGTTGGCCTCAGTATCCATGGATTTTAATATATTAATTTACTTTAAATAACATAAAATCCATAGAGTTTATTTTAATGGCTGTTTACATGACCTACAGAATTACAACATTTATTCCATTCTGATTCTTATTCTTCTCCCATGCATGCCCTGCAACATAAAATGAAAATACACAAGCACTGTATATATTAATAGCCCTACAAGTCTCATATCAAAAACAAATCATTAAAAAGAAAAAATGTGTCCATGCTACAGTTTCTCCTTGTAAAGAGAAAAGGTTAGGATTGAAATGGGTATTCATTTCATTATTATAAATAACAAATATTTCTGGAATTGTGTTTGGTGTGGAGCTCTAACATGTTTCACTGGTAATGTTTTCAGTTCAATTTCCCTGCAGATTAATTTTCAATAGCTTCCATTCTGGTTACAATATTATAGTGTATTTATTCTCTTCAAGAATTTAGAGACACTGTTACTGATGACATCAAGGAAAATATTCATATTGCTACATCCCTTTAAAAACGATGTAAAATGCTTCTCAAAGGAAACATTAACATGGACATTTTAATTCTACATAGCATTAGGATTCACGCGCTAAAACCATGCTTCTTTGAATGAAAATCAGCACAGCCCCTCCCGATTCAAGTCTTTGTATGCAACGTGTCAGTCATCCATTTACATTGCTGGTGCAATTCCAAAGAGTTTAACTAACATCTCTAACTGTAAAAATACTTCCAAGTGGATTCCCTAGGCAGCCACCCTCACGCTCAGCCATGCTGTCAAATATGAAACAGAGCAGCTTTCGGGTGAAAAAAAAAAACCCGTCCCCAGACTGCATTCAGTGCATCCATGACTCTTAATCAGAGTGCCCGAAGCATCAGTTTTTTACAAATTTTAAAGGACGCGTATTTAACTGTAATAACCAGCCCTAAAGAGCAGGAATCGTTATCACAGTCTCCCAGCTGGGGCAGCATAGCAATGCAGTTGAATCCAACAGCAGGCAGCCAAATGTCTTGTATCAATTATCTACAGACAGCGATGTTCACAAACCGACACGCCTCCAAGGCCAGCGTTTGGAGCAGGAGCCGAAGATTTTGTTCTCCAGAAGACCTAGCCCCGCCTCTCCCCGTTGGGCTGCAGTAATGGGAGCAGGCATGGCTAGATCCTTTTGAGAAGTGTAGCTCTTTAGCTCCTCTCACAGCTGTTCCAGTCTCAGTGCCCTGCTGACCCTCCCTGCCCAGCTTTCCACGAGAACACGATTAATATCCTTTCAAGCAAAGACGTGACGAAAGCATCATCGATTTTCTTCCTTGCAGCTCCCAGACTCCTGCAATGCACAGCGTGGTACCAGAGAATATACCGAGATCCACGCCATTGCCTGGCAAAGCAACATGCTCCTATTTTCGTAAACAAGTCAAATACCCCCTGACCGTCCAGCGCCAACATTCATGCGGCAAAATCACGGCCTATTTTTATCCTTGCAGAAGTCTTATTCAAGCACAGCTGACTGGCCTTCCCCTCCCGCCCCCAATTCCCGGGCTACTGTGGCTCCTCACAGCCTTGCAAAGCAAATACGCTCATAGTCCTGCAAGCAAAAGGCAAGAGATTTGCCAAGTGCCCTGATCCTGAACCTTCATTCCTGAGCTGCGGCCTCCTGCAAAGCGCTTTTCCTAGGGAAACCCGTCCTCCCCCATCAGCACACACTCACTGTGGCCGTGGTGGAGAATTTCCTCAACAGCTGGGGGACTTTCCACAACATTTCGGCAGGATTTTTGGTGCCAGCGGGTCACAGGTCTGAGGCTTTACCCGGAGCAGCTGCTGCGGCGGCAGCGCGGTGCAGAAGGGAACACCTGTCCCCGGGAGCCTGCAGAGGCAGAGGGGGCGGCGGCCCAGGCTGAGTTGCTGCTCCGTGCGCTGGAGAGCGGGTTGGTTCTTCCGTTGTTCGTGACGTTGCAAGCCGATCCGGGTGGCCAGGGCCGAACTGAGCCGCCAGCCCGCCCGACAAGAGCAGGTTTGGCGGGGGAGCTCCAGCAAGAACAGAGTCCCCAAGTTGCCCCGTGGGGAGATCAGGCCATCAGCCGTTTCCCTAGTCCGAACAGGTGTTTCGTGGTGCGCTGGAGAGCGGGTTGGTTCTTCCGTTGTTCGTGACGTTGCAAGCCGATCCGGGTGGCCAGGGCCGAACTGAGCCGCCAGCCCGCCCGACAAGAGCAGGTTTGGCGGGGGAGCTCCAGCAAGAACAGAGTCCCCAAGTTGCCCCGTGGGGAGATCAGGCCATCAGCCGTTTCCCTAGTCCGAACAGGTGTTTCGTGCTCCCTAGCTGGTGTCCCTGCAGCAGATCGAAGACAGGCGCGGCTCAAACATTGCAGAGCTTGCAGGGGGCAGGAGGGTTTTGGTGGCTTTTCTTGCCCAGAAGGAGGGAAACTGCTTTACACGCTGAACAGGTAAGGCAGGTCTGCTGCAGTAGTGTGCCTGCTCCCTGCCATGTGCCTTGGACAGGTGAGAGGGTGGCTGTTCTTCTGCTCTAGTTGCGGTCCTATGCCAGGCCCAACATCCAGTTGAGTTATCCTGGAGCACACACTGAGCTTTTGAGTTTGCTGGTTGGCATCACTAAGAATCCTGAAGATGAATGCCCAGCTGAGTGAATTTCATGGGATGGTGTTTGAGGAGTCAATAGCCTGAAGGAAGGGCAGGTTTTATGCATGCACCATAACCCATGGTGTTGTTGAGGCCACATGTAACCAGGCAGGCAAACAGAACTTGGGACCTCTGGAGTTTAGTGCATGACCTCTTGAGCTAAAAGCTATTGGCCTAAGCCTATAGAGCACACTCATTCTTTTTCTCTGTAAGTGGTCTAATGCCACTAGGCGGGACAGTGAACACACCCAGCAGGTGTGTGTGTTACACAAGCTCAACCCCTCCCCTCAGAAGATAAATAAAAATGACCCGGCACTAATGATTTTTTTAAAATTCACAAATTAAAAATCAGTCACATGAATTCAGGGGCAACACATGATTTCTGAATGTTTGAGAGTGGTAGTACTGTTAGCAGCAATCTTATTCTTGACCACAGTGTAGAGTGACACTGGGAAATTAATAACCAGACATAGTTGGAAACCTTTGTCAAAAATTATGTTGTGATGAAAGCCAGAAACAAAATTTCACAATTTTTGGCAAACATTATCTATCCATCTCTAACATCTTTAACTTCTCTTATTCCAAATCCCTTTTTGTTTTTATTTGAGGTGTTGAATGTACAGATTGAACCTCTCTAGTCCCTTACCCTTGGGACCTGACCAGTGCTGAACCAGAGAATTTGCTAAACCCCAGGAGGTTAATATTGCTTAGCAGCATTACCAACACTTACACTGCTTACTGGACTTTTAAAAGAAATGTAGGGGTAAATTAGAGCTAAATAACATTAAATAACACTGAGAGCCAGGTCTAATGGCTGTAAACAAACTTCATGGAACCAAGGGAAAGTTGGCCATTCCCATGATAAGTGACATTTGGCTAACTAAAATCATGTAAAACCATGGATGTTGCCAGACCAGAGATTGCCAGACTAGAAAGGTTCAACCTGTAGTAAACACAGTGCATACAGAAACCTATCTAGTCTCCTTTTTATTTAATGACACAGGTAAAGAACAGATGCCTTATCAAAACCCTGCTGCAAACAATCTGTGTGGAGCACAACAACCATGTATATTTTACCTCTTCTATTTTTTTCTCTGCTGTTTTTGTATCTTCATACCCTAATAACAAAAGCATGGGGTTTTTTGGAGTAAAATGTAGCAAGGCAAAGAGAAACAGGGCACCAGCAGTGATGCTGTGCTGAAACTAGCTCCTCTTTCCCCTTCTGAGACATATAATTAATTTGAGCCCTTCATACTGAGTCCCCTTAGTTTTCTTTACCGCTAGAGTTCCTTCTTGAAGGAGGTGGCTGATTTAATGTTCCATGGGGAAAGGGTGTGAGTGGGTAGGCAGTACATTGGTAGTCTGACAACTGTTTCCAATTATATCCAGATTTAGCCACGTTGCAGGGTCCTGGAGCCCAGGCAGCAGCCTGAGCCAAAACATCTACTCTACAATTAAACAAGATCTTAGCTAGAGCCCCAGTCAGATGGCACTGACTAGCCTGGGTTTTTAATTACAGTGTAGACATAAGAGGCCCATCCCTGGAAGATGAGGAAGACAATGAGAGGGTCAGACACATAGGAGAAGAGGAGGGAAGAAAATGGCTATGCTGTCATAACGAGGGATGTTAAATATTGGTTAATTGAATAGTCAATTAACCTCATGAATTCTTATCGATTAGTTGACTATTCTATAGTCCTCGGGCAGCCTCTGTCCGGGGGCAGGGGTCTGAGCTCCCGGTCTCGGCACAAGCCGGAACTGAACTGGGCTGCCTGCCCACCTGGCTCCTAATACACTTCAAATGCAGTGCCACAGTGGGGGGGTAGGTCCAGGACTCAGTGCAAGCCAGGACTGAGCTGGGCTGCTGGCCAACCTGCTAAAAATGTACTGGCAAAGGGGGGAGGGAGGAAAATGCGTGTAGTCTATAGCATTAACCTATAAGCTTTTGCTTATTATTACATCCCCTGTGGATGGATTCATATAGCCATTTCAGGGAAGTCAAGACAAGTTCCTGAAACGTGTAACCAGCACAGAGCTCAATAGAGCACAAAGGATGCTAGGCTAGGCACTGGTACTTTAAGTATATGCACCAGCCCACTCCATACCAGACAGGGGGAAAAAAACAAAAAACAAAAAACAAAAGTATTGACTCTCTGTATTTAGTGTCCAGGGCAAAAATCCTTACAGCTTAATTGTAAGCCCCATTTTCTCTTGGTTACCCATATGATATTGCCCATGTGTAAGAGCTCTCTCCTTTGCAATCACTGCAGAGCTGCTACTTCTCCTTCAATAGAGGGGCCAGAAAGTGGATTTGCAGGTATGGGAAGCACAACAGAGCTAGCAAAAAGTGGGAAATAAGTCATGCCACCCTTTTATCTGGTACAGTTTCTTTCCACCTGGAGTAGAGAGATGACAAGGACTGAATTGTATCTGCTTCTTAGTGTGCTCTATGGCTTATTCTGAGTAGCACAACGATGCTCTCCCCTCCCCCGCCATTTAGATCTCATTGTAATTCAATTACAATCTAGATCATGAATGCATCTTTAGCAGTGGTTCCCAATCTTTTTGAGCAAATGGACCCCTTTTCAATCTATTAAAATTTCACAGACCGCCCCCCCCAAATGATCCATATTTGCAAGCCCTACTAAACCCTTCACACCACTCCTATAGCTTTTGAACGGTTAGAGTGGGGATGATATACCCAAAAAAAGAAAAAAATGGTAAAAAGTGACCCATTTACAGACCGACTCCAGAGTACAGTCGCAGCTTGGCAGCTTTTGTGTGGGCTGAGGGATGTACAGACTGCAAGGCATGGAGCTTCTCAGGTCCCATTGGCTGCTGTTTGCCCGCACTGCTTCCTCAGCTCCTGTCCCCTCCGTCCCCTGTCTATCCATGGAGTGAGGGGGCTCATGTGGCCAAAGGAAGCTCTGGAGCTGCCAGCTCCTCTAGGGTGGAATGTTGAGAGGGCAGGGGGCAAGGGCAGAACTTCGGGAGCATGGTGGAGAGCAGCCATATGCACCAGGACGCGGCCTGCTAAGCATGAGAGGCATGCAAGCACTTTCCCCTCGCTCCCTTAGCGTCTGGGGAACGGGATCAAAAGCAAGCTGCAACCCGGAGTGCACAGCTGCTGCCCCTTTGTGCTCCAAGTCATGGTTTGCTTTTGATCCCGTTCCCCAGATGCTAAGGGAGCAAGTGGAAAGTGCTTGTACCCCATGAATGCCTCTCACACACCAGCCAGGCGTGAGATACAGAGGCAGCAGTATGGGGTAGCATCAGCCATGTCCATGGGGAGACCGAAGTGCACTGACATCCCCTGGAGTAGCCTCTATCCGTGGCAAGCCTGGGCCCATTGAGGACAGAGGCTTTTCTGCAGCAGCCTACCCCTGCCCCCCCTTTTCCCACTGCTGCCTTTGACTTCCCTTACTCCTCGTACAATGAGGGTTACAGAAGTCGGAGTAAGAAGTCCTTCAACTTGACAGTATTTTGACACTATTTTGAAATAACGTCCTGCTGTGTAGACGCAGACTAAGTTATTTCAGAATAGCGCTAGTTATTTCAAAATAGTGTTGCAGTGTAAATGTACCCTAAGGGGCCCTATTTGTAGCTGCTTTCACACAGTAGAAAATAAAAATTAATACAAACAAAAATCCATGGAAGATAACTAATTTTCAGAAATGAGGGTCAAAATGTCCAAAGAAGTTCAGCAGAGCAAAGCCCATACAAACCCCTTCTAAGTCTGCATATGCACTTATCAATCAAAACTAGTCCTGACTTGCTGTCACTAGAAATCTAATAATTTTTGCAAACAAATCTGAGTCAATGTCAAAGAAGATCCAGCGGCACTTAACATTGAACTACAAGACTACTCATTGTTTTTACAACACCAATGCAACTGAACAAAGAGTGCCACCTAGTGATTAAACTGAAAAGGATGAATCAGTTATTTCAAAAACTATATCATAAAAGGAAAACATGTGGCTTACTTCTATAAAAACATTGTTATTTAAGCTTACCTCACTTAAAGCCTTTTCTCCAAATGTCTTCTTTCAAAATAACATTCTCATTCAAAAAATTCTCATTTCTGCCTTCTATTTCGTGCTCACTTAGGGTACGTCTAGAAAGCAACATTATTTTGAAATAACTGGCATTATTTCAAAATAACTTAATCTGCGTCTACACATCAAGCAGTTATTTCAAAATAATTTCAAAATACTGTTAAGCTGGAGGACTTCTTACTCCGATTCCTGTACGAGGAGTAAAGGAAGTCAGAGAAAGAGTGCTCTATTTTGAAATAAGTGCTGTGTAGACGCTCCCAATTTCAAAATAAGCTATTTTGAAATAAGCTACGCAATTGACATAACTCAATTTGCATATCTTATTTTAAGTTAAGTCCTGCTGTGTAGACGCACCCTATATAGACATCTCTATACACATGATTACAGAGCTTGGCAATTGTTCACAATGTCTGGTTAGTTCACTTTGTTCACATTTTGCAGTCTCATAAAAACTCACACACTCTGGAATATATTTCTCCTATATATTCAGTTCACGTATTGTTTTATTTTTAAAAATTGGAAGCTATATCCTGACTTTAAATATATGAGACCTTCACTGACTTCAATGAAAGTTGCATATACATGGAATATGGCCCTGAATCTCAAGTCTAAATTAGGGATGTGAATGGTTAACTGGTGGGGGGTTGGGAGAACCTACCCCCCCTTCTCTCACCTGTTATAGGCAGGGGATTTCTCCAGCTTCATGGGGCCCACAGCAGGCAGGGGGTGTTCCACTGGCCAGAGCAGTTCCTGCCCACAGCAGCACTTGCCCCGGGTTCCATGTGCAGGGGCATTCCACCCCCTTTTTAATAGGTTAACCTTAACATTTAACCTGTTAACTAATTAAATGTGATTTTATATCCTTAGTCTAAATTAGGGCCCAGTTCCTCCAGGAGCTTAATATAGATGTGAAGATAACTGTGCATTTATCCATTTACCACTGAGTTAAATGGAAAGTGAGAGAACCTTGTCCTTTCTGATGCTCAGCATGTTGCAGGAGTGGGCAAGAGGCTGCCACTGGGCTGGATCCGGCCCGCCAAGCCATCAGATCTGACTCCTGGCTGCCTCAGCAGAACCCTAAGGCAGAGATTAGTTCAGCTACGTCTACACTGGCATGATTTTGCACAAGAACTCTTTTGTGGAAGAGTTCTTGTGCAAAAACTCTTCCAGAAGAGAGCGTCTACACTGGCATGTGCCTTTGCGCAAGAGATGTGCTTTTGCGCAAGAGCATCCATGCCAGTGTAGACGCTCTCTTGCACAAGAAAGCTCTGATGGCCATTTTAGCCTTAGGGCTTTCTTGCGCAAGAAATTCATGTTGCCTTTCTACACTGGCCTCTTGCGCAAGAACAGTTGTGCAAGAGGGCTTATTCCTGAGCGGGAGCATCATAGTTCTTGTGCAAGAAGCACTGATTGCACACATTAGAATATCAGTATTCTTGCGCAAGAACTTGTGGCCTGTGTAAGACAGGCAGCAAGTTTTTGCGCGTTTTTGCACAAAAGCAAGCATTTTTGCGCAAGATCTCACCAATGTAGACACAGCCTTCATGTTTTTAAAAGCCAGCTGTTCTCTGCTCAGGAGAGCTGGGGAGGGAGAAGGAGGAGGACTTCTTGTGCTGTTCCCACCCCCAGCAAAATCTCTTAGCTCCCACTGGTCAATCTCTCAGTTTCCGGCTAATAGGAGCCAAGAATTTTTGATGGGCACAGGGGCGGAATATGAAGCATTCTCCCTCCCTCCTGCCCCTTCCCTCTCATGCCAGCAGTGGAACAATGAGCAGCCTACAGCAGGCTGTCTGCCTCAGGTTTCTGCTGGTAAGTGCCTCCCAGCCAGAACCTGCCTCTGGCACCCCAGCCCTCTATCCCCCCTCCACATACTCAAACCCTCTGCCTCCTCCTGCACCCATACTCCCTCCCAGATTTGGCACCACAATCTCCTGCCCCAGATCACAGTCCCCTCCTAGCCTAGGTCATATCCCAGAACCCTGCATCCCAGCCCTCTGCCCTAGGTCACAACTGTCTTCTTCACCAAAACTCCCTCCCAGACCCCATTCTTCCTCCTGCACCCCACTTCCTTACCCTAAGCTCCCTTCTGCACCTTACCTCCATCCCAGACCCCAGAATTTTTCCATTTATATCCCGGAAGAGTGCAGCCCTCGACCACTTTCTAAAATCTTGGAATGGTCCCTCATCAAAAATTATTGCCCACTCCTGGCATGTTGTATAATCAAGCTCTTAATTTTTTTGTGGCCTTAAAAATGATATTTGCACAGAAACCAGTTAACTGAGGAGAGACACTAGTGCCATGTACCAAAAATACATACATCATCATCTCTCTTTTTTCAAGTTATCCCAAAGATTGACTTATTATTTCTGTTATTTGACAAGAAATGAATCTCCGCACTATTGTTCCAAGTCTGTTCTTTTCACCTCTATTTAAACAGGATACAAATTGATCATGGAGATTTCAAATGTCTTAATAAAACACACACAGCAAAACCTTTCTTCCCTAGAAACCACTTTCTGTCTATATTTATTAGTCCTTTGAGCTCCTAATGGAATTGAATAAATGCCAAATGATGAAATTGCTGTCTTCACCTAGGTAAGTGTAACATGGGGCAAATCTGTAGCTGCTATGAATATAACTGCTGGTGCTCCTGACGCTATTGCAATTGTTAAGCTTGATCTGAGTGATATTGCTCTTGCTGCTGTAGTCCCTTTTGTGGCTGTTATTCTTTCTATTGAAATTGGTGCTGCCACTGGTGACACTGCTCCTGATGTTATTGCTACCTCTGCAGCTGGTACACTAGATGGTGGCACTGCTGTTCTCAGTGGACCTATTCTTGATGTTCCTCCCAAATCCTGTAACCTTAGGTGCTCCCCTTCTTTATTGCTGCTCTTATTTTAAACCTAATTATTGCAATGGCTGTTATTACAACTTTCTGCTGCTGCTTTGGACTGGAAGTAGGGACGTAAAAGGTTAACTGGTTACCAGGTAAGCATTAGTCTTACTGGCATGCTTACCTGTTAACCACAGTGCCTGGCTGGTGGGAGCAAATTCTCCTTTCTTCCTTTGGCCAGCAGGACCCCAGTTGCGGGGGCCCTGGCCGAGCCAGCACGGACCCCTGGTTACGCACCTGCAGGGCCAGATCATGGCATGGCTAGAGCAGCACCCCACCCATGGTATGGAAGGGCCAGAGCAGTTCCCTGCTTTCCACACAACCAGGCCAGAGCAGCCCCCTGGCTGTGGTGCTGTTGGTGTGGCAGAGGTCCTGCCAGACCAACAAGAGCCCATGAGCTCTCCATGGTTAACTGGTGAAATTATTATAAGTATATTGTTTAACTTTAATGGATATTTACATCCCTAGTCAGACATATTATTTGCGACCTAGAAGCTGGAGTCAGGGTCTCAGTACATATTTCACAAACATGGGGGAGCCAACAGCCATACTGGGCCCCTGGGCAAAGTGAGGGGGAGCGTGGCTTTGCATTTCTGGAAGGGGTGGGGGGGGTAGGGAGGGCTGGGCAGAAGGGCTGGGGCAGCCAGCCCTCACTGCTGTTCAGATGACTAAGAACTAGCCCCTTCCAGTCTTTATAGTAGCCTGAAGCACATCATGGGGTACTCTGATAGCAATTTAAAGGAAATGGGGTTCCAGGCACTGCTACAACCCTGGGCCCTTTAGAAATGCCAGACCCAAGGGCAACTGCCCCTATTGCCCTCCTCCCCGCATCAGCAGGCCTGCACAAACCAGAGGTGAAAGTAAGCCGGTGTGCTGTTCTGGCAAGAAAGAGCTGGGTTTGATGAAGCACTTGGCTGCAGGTGGAGGTGTGGCACACTCCCAAATGAGCTTCTGAGATTTGCAGGGTGCTATTTATGGAGTGAGTGACCCAGGCTGTGAGCTTCCCTTGCTCAAGAGTGTTGAAAGGGAACAGGAAGCAGACTCCTAGTATGAATCTTGGTGAGTGGGAGGCTTGACCTCCCTGCTGTACCATACCAATTGTGCCTGTGCTCTCTGCATCCACACATACCCCATGCCCTGAGCCCCCCTTCACACCAACCCTGACTCCTGCAGCTACCAACATACATACCAAGCTCCCTCCCCTGAGCCCCCACATCCTCAAGTTCCTGCCCTGACACCTCCACACACACCCTGCTCCCTGGCCTAAGACCGTATCAGTGTTCTAATTTTTTCCAACAATGTGCAGAATAAATTTTTGTTACATGCACTGTGGCATGTGCAGGTGTGCACCCCAACTAGAAAAACATGCTACCAGTTGTGGGCATTGTGGGTGCTCAACTAATCAGCTGAGTAGCATTTGAACCTTTCCTGAGTGCCCATGTGCTCAGCTTAGAGGGAACACAGGACCCCACCCCCTAGGCTCTGGCCCTGATGCCTGCACCTCCACTCCCTCCCTTGAGTCCCCCACACTGTCTGTACCTCATATTGTAAATTGGTATATATGGTTGTGACTATTTTCTTCCACTATTTGATCTGAGGAAGTGGGTCTGGCCCACGAAAGCTCATCACCTAATAAACCATCTTGTTAGTCTTTAAAGTGCTACATTGTCCTGCATTTTGCTTCAACTACACCAGACTAACACGGCTACATTTCTATTACCATATTTACAGGGACTGTTGTATGGCAACTCCACGCCCTCACCTGCTACAACAGTGTCTGTAAGAAATTTAAGTAACTTTCATCAAACCCAACACAACGTCCCCACTCACAGTGTTAAATAGATCAGACAGGTCCCGGGTGGGGAAACTGAGGCACCGGGAGCGACGCCACCTGCGGTCACCCAGGAGCTCAGT